AGAAGAGAGGGAGGGAGAGAGAGAAAGGGGGGGAGGGAGGGTGAGGGTAAGAGAGCCATTATAATAGAACAAAAATACAGTATCTAATTCCAGGGTGAAATAGATAAAAGAAAACACAGTAATGAAACATATATGTGGTAAATGATTACCCCAAATATAACAAGTTCTTATCTCAATCGCCTTAACAATAAACTTAACAATTCAGCTCACAATAGAGCCCAGGAAGAAACAGAACAATTCAGATCCCAGTACTTGTTCTTTCAAGTAGGGATGTAAGCTTTAGCATTACAACATACTTACATTGGATTTTTTTAAAAAAGATTTTCCAATATTCTGTAAAAATACTTTTCTGTAAAAAATTTTTACCAGGATTCTAAGTTTCTGTTTGGTCCTATTTCTAAGTAACTGAGACTTCCTCATCAAATGTCTCAATTATGGCAGATGAATATTACAATACTCTTCATTATTTTTCAGATAGATTTTAATGTTGAATTCTGTGGGTGAGTTCTGGACTGTTTCAAGATATTCAGCTTTCCCTTTTGTAGCCCGTAGTGAAGTGGTTACCATCTTGTCAACTTACCTCCAGTAGTACTTCCTTGTTCCGGTCTGCCATTTCAGAGGTTTCTCTTTTCCCAAGAAGATAATTCTGCAACAGAGAAATAGAAGATACAGTTGACAAAGTAAAATAACCAAAATGAAGTAGTTATCTTAGTCTTATCTTTTCCTGATGCTAATAAAGAGTACTATTTGTGAACAAATCTTTTCTATATGGAAAAAGATATAAATTTATGGGAATAATGTGAAGTCTTTTAAACTAAGTTTAAGGCAGGCATGTTTATTCTTGGATACAAAAACATTTACAGAAATGTAGATGCTGATATATTTTTAATGTTTCTCAGAATTTTATCGGGAGGGGAATGGAAACATGAAAACAAATTTAACAAATACTCCCTTTCAGAGCATAGTTATGGTTTTAATAAATTATATTAATAAATTATATAAATTAATAAATCTTAGTGTATTAAGCATGTAAAAACAACCATCACAAAGGATGTTTAAGCCACAATGGATGTTGAAATGCAGAAAAAAGAGCTTTATTTCCACCCATTGATGATCTCACCATTAATTTTAATACACTATTATGTCTTGTTTTGTTTTATTGAAGTATTTTAATTTTTATTCTGGTCTGTGACAATAATACAAGATTGATGGAAGAGCATTATACTTACTTGGGGATTTTTAAAAAGGGCATATTTTTCTATACGTTCAACAAACATGAGCTTGTTTTGACTATCTCTTGTCCAGTTCAGGAGGTTTTCAACTAAATTTTCATGGTCTTCAAAGATTCTGTCTGCATAATTACAGAAATATAACAATCATTTTAAACTCAAAATCAAGTCAACTAATTTTATAGTCTGAAGTCCTTTTCATAATGTCATATGACAATGCATATTAATAAAAAAGTAAAATAGAAGAACAGGTATCTTTCATATTTTCCAAAACCAGGTAGAAGTCTATTTCAAATTACATGGTTTCTATAATGCATAAATAAATATATGTGCTGCTTTTTTTTTTTTTACTTGTGAGAACATATTCTACAAACCTATTTTGCATACAAAGGAATCTGTGTGAATTCATTATACTCATTTCATGGAATTAGGAGGCTACGATTTCAATCATGGATGAAGTCCAACTCCTTTTATCCTGCAATCTCAAATCAATACAGATTTGTTTTTATGTACCAATCGAATGAATTATCACTCCATTATTGTGAAAAATGTAAAGAAACATTTTTCAAAAGGGGGGGAAACTACTCTATAAGAGTATAGAAAAAAGGAATCTTACAGGTATTATTCTTATTACAAATAATGTATTTTTAATACATTCAATTTAATTCTATGGAAGGAAATGAACTGTAATAATAACAAAACCAACATATTGCACCACATTTGGAATGTATTTCTATTCAAAATGCACCCCAATATTTAAGTAGAATATTAAAAATGTTTGCATACAAAAGGATGAAAGCAAGTTATATACTGAAGTTATAACACAAAGGCTTTATCTATATGAAGGTATTTTTAACAGGTTCAAAATAGCAAGAACATCAACCACTTGTAATAAATATGTTGCTGACTTTTAAATAAAAATGTGGTTTAAAATGTGTATAGGTAAAAGCAGTACGGTATATGCAGCATGCAAATATATCTGTATCCAATTTAATATCTTTCCCAAGGAAAACCAAGCCTTGATTATTTTATTATTGTATTTCTGATTTGATCTGCTGAAAGCTTGTGGTTAAGTAATCACGGTCATAACACCAAAACATTATAGAAATTTTAGCAAACCTAGAAATTCCAGAAGTATAAAAGCATCTTTACAAAAAGTTCCAACAAAGAAAAGTCTGCTTCAAAGTAACCCAGCTGCCTAAAGAAAGATTAGAACATATGCACACAGGCACACACACATATACGCGTACTGCCCTGAAATCTAATAAAGATCAAGGTTTCCCCACCACCACCACCCCTACCCCCCCATAAAAAGCCATATTTTAAAATGTGGCATATCAACTCAGGAATAAGAGAGAACCAGGAAACAAGATCATACATTATAAAAATTCCACAACAATTTGGTATGGTCAAGAAATCTGAATTACTAACCCATTTGTAATTCAGAGATTGTTTCTACCAAGGACCAGTCTAAGCTAAATCCACAATGGGATTTGTCCATCAAGTTGTCTAACACTTGTCTTACTGTCTGTCGTTCATCTACCATCATTGTCTTCGAGCTGTCATCAGACATGTGGACTCTTATCACAAGCTGTAGCAGAAATAAAGGAGAAGGCATTAAATTTTGATGAAATTTTGAAACAAAATTACTGACTACCCAGTACAGGTAGTCCTCACTGAGTGGCCACTCATTCATCAAGCGTTCAAAGTTACAATGGCACTGAATGAGGGAGACTTATGACAGGTCCTCACATCTGAGGCTGTCACGGCATTCCTGCAGTCATAGGGTCATGTTTTGGGATCTCGGCAACCACTTCATAATTCTGATGTTGCAGCATCCCAGGGTCATGTGATCGCAATTCATTACCTTCACTACCGGCTTCCGACAAGCAAAGTCAATGAGGAAGCTGGAAGAAGGTTGCAAATGACTATCATGGGAGCACAATCTGCAACCATGTGGGATTTGTCTAATGAGGGCAATTGGGACTGCTGCAACTGCTGTTGTAAGTTAGTGTGGTCATGTGACATCATGGTTTATGACTGCGCTCCTTAATGAGAAAGTCACCAGTCCCAATTACTACTGTTAAGTAAGGACTGCCTATATTAGATTCTAAGTATTTTAAATGATTTTTACATGGGTAGTAAGTATAATTTAATTTTTCCAACTCTTTTTAGTTTGAGATGATTCTACACTTAACTAGTTCCTATTTTTCTGTATCCTTTAGATGCCCTGCAAAGATACCCTGAGGCCTATGTAGCAAATTAGGAGCCATTCATCAGTAAAACAGGAACACAGATAGGGTGAATGGATATAACTGGATACAACCCACATCCTGGAATCATTAAAAAGGAACTTTCTGTGCTGTAGTTCAAGTTGAATATGTTAACATTGCTTGATAACTAGAATTGCAATGCAATACTGTATAAACTGTAGAACTAGAAATATAACCTAAGAAACAAGAGTTTTAATGCTGCATATTTTCCCCAGTAGGAACTAATTGTTTGTATTGACTTTAAAATATATTAAACAAAAACAATTTACCTTTTTAACTTGTGCTTCTTTAATCTTCTCTAAAGCAACCCTGATCTTTTCAGCCTTCAGTTTAGCAGCCTGTTCCTCCTAGGGAAAATAATTTTTGGTTTAACACTGTGCTGTATAACTGGACTGGACACACATACACACACATATATATATATCAATATATCAATGCTTTTCCCATCTTCCCTTTCCCAATTATATTCTCCAACAGAATACTTCAAAGAACAGAAAGGTAAAGACAAAACAGAATTCTATGAAGTGTATTTCTACTGTAAAAGTACTTTCAAAAGTACTTTTGACCTATACAAAAAGGTATCACATGCTAATCTAATGTTTACAGGAAACTTCCCATCATTTTAGAATACTGTATTTAAAACGTATGTGCTATTCAAATGCATCTGTTTGAGCACAGGAATTTTACAGTATAGTAATATTTACTGTATGCTGCCTATTCTGTTCTCACAAAGACTTCTCAATTTTTTTCCTAACTCCCTGTAGCTACTGCCTGCCTCCTCAAGTTCCATCTGTATTACTGTCCAATTAATAGTGGAAAAAGGCAACAGCTGGCAAAAGAAATGTTCACCCGAAACACAGTAATTTTCAATGAAACTAATGAGTAAATTGATAAGAGCAAAGATAAATGAGGCCTGAAATAAACAATTACAAAGGAAACAACATTCTGAAGGTGGGGCAAAAGCCCATCATTTTCAATATAAAAAGGATCCAATATAAAAAGCTTGAAAACAAAAATTAGAGAAATAATTCTGTAGCACAAATCTCGTATGGGCTCAAATGGGAAAAATATTCCAAACAACTCAGCACTTTGTATATAAAATAAAAATATCTTACACTGCAAATGGGATAATCAGGCTTTATGCATAGATTATAGAAATTATGTCAATGCATCCATTTTCTGGAAGAACAACTGATTGATACATCTCCTGCTTTCTTATGACAATATTGTTCAGATTTTTGTTGTGTTTTAATGTTATTTTTCTGACCATGAAAATTAAGACTGAATCAGCCTTGTACATTAATCATTCTGAGGTTTAAATTCACTGAATTGAATTGTATCTAAATACAATATACTATAGAATGTTTTATCATTGATATGTTAATATTTACCACAGACATACCTTTATATTCTTTCTCATCTGGTATTTTGAAGCAGAATTACCTACCCAAACTTATTTAATTTATGGATCAATCATACTTTTACTATGGATGCATCAAACATGATTTTATGGCAAATTTCTAAAAAAAGAAGCACCTTTGATTTAGTAAAAAGGTGCTAAAATAAATATAGTTTTATTTATTAAATTCCCATCCAAGTGATTTTACAACTATCCAGAAATTTTACCTTATTTTAAATAACAACCACAAATATTCTAAAATCTCCTAATATATTTTAAAATGATAAAATCATAGCACCTGCTGTTACATCCTCTCCACCTTAGATATATTTTGCAAATCAAAAGTGTATCATTTTATATTATACCCAATTTTTGCGTTTCATATTCTCATGTTTACTCTGACTATATGACTGAGTATACAATCTTCAATGACCTCATCTGATTATAAATTTTGACCAGGATTAAGTTAAACAGAGTAGAAATTACAGATAAATATTTGGATAAAGCATGAAAAGAATACACGGAGAAATAGATAAATAATTTTGGCAATATTGGCAGGCAGAACAATATCCCCAATTATTATATGTGCCTATATTAAGATACAGAGCAACATCCTTTATCAACTGTCCTTACTGAAACAAATTATAAATCAGGAAATGCATAAATATTAAGCAGCAGCAGGGAAAATTATAATGAACTATGAAAATAATTTCAAATCTATATTATGGATCTTCATCATGGATAATATTGTATGTTTGTCTAAGATAAGAAATTCAGAAAATAGTATAGATCTGCAAATTAAAAAAATTGTAAAGAAAAACAAGAAGCTGTCAGTGTCACTGTCTCTCAACATGGAGCTGAATATTATTTGATAACCCTCCTAAAGCCCATTTCTGTGACAATGAACAAAGTCCAGAGAAAATGTTATTTCTGATACCTTTAATTGGAAATAATGGAGTATAACTTTAAAGGAAGAGTTAATGACAGGATTAAAGTACAAATACTAAAAACAAAGGAACAGCCTATCTCTGCTAATTTTATCCCCAATTCTTTAATATTCAGAATTAAAGCCAATCCTTAATTGTTGCAGAGGAATAATTTGGCCCAGTGGTTAAGGCACCAAGCCTTAGACATGAAAGCCAGCTGAATATTTTTGGACCAGTCCCCCTCTCTCAGCCCAATCAACAGAGTTGTTGGGAAAATAGGAAGAGGAAGGTATGTTGGATATGTTTGCCACCCTGAGTTATTTGTAAAAATAATAAAGGTAGGATACAAATAAATAAGTAAAATAAAAATAAATTGGATATGAAATAATACCAGTTATCATTTCTCCATCAATATCAACTGTAATTCATTTTAACACCATTCTAGCAATACATGTTTGTTGCTGACATTTCAAAGGAAGTCCTACCAATGAATGATTGGAAGCCATTTAAATAATTATATTCAGATTTTAGTGAAGTAACAATATTTTGATAGGAATAGCTTCTTCTAGTGAATACTCTCCGCTCCTTCTTTCACTTTGGAGTGATTTCTTCAAAATGTAAAAATAATTTAAAATGAAAAAGTAGGAACAATTGGGTTTTTTTTGGTGGTGATTGAATTGTGAGTAAAAAAGAAGCCACGTGTTCAGAGTGAATTTACCACCTACCCAATATTTTAAGTTTCTTGTGCTAATTTGAGACTATTTTTATTTTTTACACATTAAAGAACACAACATTTAATTGAAAAAAAAACCCCTGTTTTATTTTATCTTAAAATAATATTGATTGGTAAAACTAGCTAGCCAGCACGAGAATATTAGCCCAATTTAAATGCTGATAACTATTCTTCAAACATTTATAATAATTTAATTTGGGGTCAATCAGTTCATAATGAATTAATAAGTCCATGCCTGTTTGCTTGATACTACAATCATTACTACATTTTTGATGGGAATTAGTCTGAAAAAAATCTGGCTACATAATTGCTTTAAATTCTATGTGCTTCTAAAATGCAATCATCATCTCTCTCTGATCATTAAAAAAAGTTTTTCAGACTGTATTTATTCTATAATTAAATGCTCTATAATCCAAAGCAACTCAAGACAACATACAAAAAAGGATATTAAAAAAAATCATCTGTCAATAAAACAAGCTTTTTATATTTCCCCCTTTTTAATTGACAATAGCCCCATAAGCCACTTTTTAACACATATACGATACATTTTACAGGCTATGAAGTATGAGGAGCAAAAAAAATCAGAGGCAGTCTGTTTTCTGAATAAACTGAATTTGCCTTCAGACATAGTTAATTGCACAATAAGATCACATGTGCACACACGTTTTTCTCCCCTATACAATGTAGTCTGATAAAGTAAAATCAATATAGTTGCAAGAAATGAATTAATGCAACTGAAATATTCCTATTTCTATTCAAGCACTGCTTAAATCTAGGCACAATAATGACAAGCAATATAAGCAGATTTTTTTATTGCTCCCTGAATTTTTTACTGGATTGTTAAAGGAAAGTTAAAATGGTAGGTAGGAGTGAGTAAAGCATCTCTAAAAAAAGGTTGTTTTAGAGGGGGGGGAAAGATAGGTTATCAGAAATCTAGCAGATAAAAATGAGACCATCTCCAAAAATGATACTTGTTCAAATAAGTCATTCTGAATTAACTGGTCTCAGTTCTTTAAAAAAAACCTGGAAAGAGAACATGATGAATTTAAACATATTGGCACAATTGCTTTCTCATTGCAGGACAATTCATTCTTCTTATTTTAGATACTAGATAGATATAAAATTTGATATAGTCACATACTTCTTTTGGGAGGTGTATAATTTGGTATGACATATGGCTTCTTACCTATAGTACTTATAGCACTTCAAGGGATATGTGTAATGCATCTTTTTCAGTAATAAAAATCTCTCTTTGAGAATAATTCAGAAACTCAGAATAATTCTTCATTCTAAACTATGATCCTTATTTTTTTGATTCTTTGAAAACATTAATTAAACAGCAGTTTGCTTATTTGTTATTTAACCAACTAAATGCATTTCAAACTTCAGTAAAATAAAAAATTGAAGTTAAATTGAAGTTAAAAAGTAAAATAAAAAAGCTGAAATTAAAAAGCTTTATTCTTTGTAAAGAGTTATGGTTATTAGTTATAAAATACATCTTTTTAGAAACAGGTTTGCAAGAATAGTGGAATGAAAACTATTTTGAATTAAAAAGTTGTTTTAATTTATCATAACATATAAATATTTGCTACATATAGAAAACTAAATAATTAAAAATAATGCAGATTATTAGTATACTAGTTTGATCTTCTGTATGTATTTTTCATTATCAGTATCTTTATTAAAACACTGGACAGTATTAAAAAATGATGCAATGATATTAATTGGTTTTATACAAACGCTTTTGAATCCTAGCAATTATTTTCACAAGATTTTTTGAGATTTACTTAATCTCAAAAATATCAACAAAAGTGGGTTGATATTTAAGTTTTTGTATTTATTTTATACTAAAATAAATGTAGCAAAAAACAACCACCATTTAGAGGCTTCATTATTTATTTTAAATGAATTCTTGCTATTCAGCAAGTTCCAAACAATGCCAGCTTCTCTCTAGAATAGAAAGTTATTTCTACAAATTAAACTAATATTATAATTTTCTGAGGGAGGGAAGAATTAACTTAATCTGTTATGACTAATGTCATGCAGAATCTTGTTTCAACAGTAACATTTATTGCAACATAAGCTTGTATGAATTATAAAATCATATTTACAGGAATATGTAAATATTCCTTAAGTTAAGGAATAAGTTAAAGCTATGATACTCCCTCTCACAATCACACGAGATACCTATCTGTTTATGACAACAGATACAATGATATAGCCATGAGAGGTAAACCCTGTCATAGGCTGAGAAACTAACTTTGTCCCTGTATCTACTCTGATCATCAT